AACTCGCGGCCATTGTCAGATTGTAATATCATCGGAGCTCCGAAAATACAAAATATGTCGATAAGGTGTTTTGCGACTTCTTCTGCTCTCTTTGTTTTTAAGGGTCTTAGTTGAACGAATTTAGTAAGGTGATCCTGATATACCATAATAAACTGGAACGCTCCATCCCCCTGCGACTGCATATCAATCAGGTCCCCTTGGCAGTTGGCACCTACTATTCATTTCCGAAAACACCATTGGTTTAATCACTAGACCCTTGTTTTTAGATTTTTGTTTAGATTGACACGATTCGCAAAACTTTAAGTAAATAGACACTGTTTCTTATGTTATATTTTTATACTTTTTTTTTAACTTCAGGATTCATGCGGTGTTTTCCACCATGCCCAATACTCAAATGTACATCGTGTAGCACATCATAGATATTTTCATTAGTAATATAGTACAAAATGTTTGTATTACCTTCCAACAACGGCAATATTAATTTATCTTTTTCTCCAAAAGTAATGAGGTCGTATCTTTTCAAAATTCGATATGCCTTGTTACTTTTTATTCCACTTGATCTCACATTTTTAATTTCCGAAACTATTTCGTTATCCTTAACTGCCGATAAATAAACTGAATTATTATTTTTTTTGTTAACTATTTTATAAAAACACTCATAACATTTTTCGCGTGAAGTCATTTTAAAAAGCTATTATATGTACGACGCGTGTATTAAGACGAACTAGCACCGTATTAAATATTATTGCGTGTGTTTTTTCATAAACATTTATCTACAATCGTTATTTTATCGTATACATTTTATCAAAGTACTTTACCCACTCAGTCGTAGATAATACCCGAGTAAAGTACGAAATAAACGTTTTATAAATAGTATTTTTACTTTAACCAATAGGTACAGGTAGTGTACCTACACATTACCCGGATAATGTGAACACTAACCATATTTTGTACTTTACCCGTAACATATATATATTTGTACTAGACTAAACTCAGACAAATGCTTTCAAATGAGAATCAGTTTAAATATAATTCAGAATATAAAAATAATATTATGACAATGAAGTATAAAATAATTACTGAATTATGCGTGTGCTAATGTTATATATAAAGTAAAACTGTAGTGTAGTTTTTATATATTATGGTATTAGAATATTTTTGTCACGAGACACGAATCTATTTGATAAGAAACTGAAAAAAAAATATGATTGTTTGGTATTTGCTGGTTTACGAGATTATTATCATAGCACAAATAGAATACGTACCAAAGCTGAGGGCCACTCAAAGTTTTCTTTCATCATTGGGTGTTTGGGTACGTGTCTACAGGTCTTCTTTTAGTCTAGTACGATGATAGAGTACGAATATTAATGGTCGGTTTGTCTATGATAAAAATGTAATATAATATTAATATCTGCGTGTATACCCAATGATGGTGGAATAAGTGTATGGTAGGGAGGACCGCTAATTTCGCAGGTCTGGCCATGGCCAGATTGGCCATACCCGTAAACACGCCTATGTTGACCGATAAATCTATTACATTTTATATTATTTATATTTAGATAAGTGAATTGGAGATAGAAAGAAATGAACTRCAATGTTTGGCTGACAAGCGTGTTGAAATTTTAAAACGAGAAAAAAGAGAGAAAGAAAAAAGCCAAATGAATATACTAAGTTTAGGAGTTGATGAAAAACGAAAGATATTGGACTTATCGAATAAAACAATTGAAAATGGTGAGGTCAAGATATCGGACTGTAAAGATCTTTTCGCTGAAGCCGTTCTCGTGAAAAATATGTTAGATAACTGCACTCAAGGTACGTGCCTGAATTATTTTATAATAAGTTTTTTCATAAACATATTCCAATGGTTTTTTATCACCAATTTAAATATAATATAATATAGTACTATTGGATTGTTCGCGAAGTGTGATGATTGAAAACTACGGGAAACCTCTAGTGAAACTAATAGAAGAAGAACATGAAGTGTCATCGGCCAACGTAAGATAATTCCACTTATTTATTATAATACATGTCATAGAACGTGAAGAATATAAACGCTAATACCTAGTGAGGTAGGACAAGTTCCTGGTAAAATCTAAATTTTATGGGTGGAGGAGAACCATTAATTAGTTAAATGCTCTAATAAAAACTTAACTTTTGGTTCTTGGAGGCCTCATTACCTTCTACTACACCAATGTCCAATACACTGATTTTCTTAATGTGATTTAGTCCATACACCAGTTGAAGATACTCAAAACTACCAACTAATAATCATCCTTTACCTGCGATCCACCCCATTTTTATATTATTTACATCTCATATGTTTCGTAATGATTACTCAAACGTATAGTTAATTAATGTAATTATTCATTAAGTAATGAACGTACCTATAAAAATAATTTCTATTATAAAAACGAACTTTAAAAAATATTTCAGAATCACGATTTAATATTAATTTTAAAATAATAATCTTGAGAAAGTTATGCATCAAAAGCGCATTATACTGTTCACCGCAAAAGCTTAACTGCAATTGTTTGTGACAATCAAAGGGGAATTTAAAGGAACGGCAACAAACCGCTTAAACATAATATATTGCAGAACTTAGTGGAAATGAAATGGTCATTATAGCACGAGTCACAAGTCAAGAGTGGTTTTTTATTGATTAAATACCGATGTTTATATCAAAAATTACTATTGTAACT